ATTTTAATTATTTGTCTTTGAGTGTGTAAGAATTTAATTTTTGTTTTTGAGTAAAATAATACTTTTGCATCACATTTATTTTTTTAATGATGTCATAAATATAATGAATTTACTGCTAGTACAAATACAACTGTAGTAATGATAGAAATTAGAAATCAATTAAAAAATTATTTGTTAGTATTTGTTTATCATAACTTATTATAATACCAAATACCCCCTCAACTTACAGACAACCTACCAAAAACCCCCTTAAGATAATAACATCATTATCAATTTTGTATAAACGGCCAAAACTACTTTCTAATCTATATTTTTGAAACTATACGATTTAAATATTTTTAAAATATATCATAAATTAAGGTTAAAAACCACATTAATCATTTTATAATAATGCACTTAAATAGTAAATTTTCAAAATTTAACTCTATTATTTTGAAATAAAATAATTTTGATCAATTAATTTAGATTATTAATTATGAATTAACTTTTATATAGTAACTTACATTATTAATCATCAATTAACTCTTTTTTTTTGTAAATTTATAATATAATTAAAAATTGATATAAATAAATTCACATTTTTATGGTCAAAATACAAAGAAAACAAACCAAAAAACAAGAAAGTAAAGAAAATGAAGTGTATGTAAACTACGGTTAATATAGTCATTTCAATATTTGACCCCACTCAAGAGTTATATAGTAATATTACTAAAACTCGGGGGGTTTATGGTAGATCAGACCAGAACTCGGGGGGTAAAATGTAGTTCACCCTACTTAATAAGTTAGAATGGTATAAATATTATGCATTTAATTTAGTTAGAATGCTTTTAAATCTAAACTCTAGTTTTGATTTATGTTGGAACTTGGAAAGGTAAAGCGTTTTAAAGAAAATTTAGAACAAGATAATTGTGAATATTAAAAAAAAATTAGTAAAGAAAAGTGAAAAAATAAAAATAAAAATTTGTCTAAGAATAATTTTTTTAAAAAAAAGTTAATTAATTATTTTTTTTTAACAAAAAGTACCTTTGAAAAAAACCTAATCCAAATGGCTTTTTCATATTCTTAACTCGTAAAAGGGTTTTGAGAAATTCTTGTCCAAATGCATTATTTTCCAAAAATTACTTTTTCAACTTTTGCTTCAAGCAGACTTTTCAGAACAACTTTTCAAAACTCTTGTCCAAATGGAGCCTTAATGTCTTATCTTTTTTCTTGTTTTTTTTAATTACTCCCTCTGTTCTGTAATTGTTTTTTAGTTTGAATTTTTATATTTAATACAAATTGAACTAAAAGTGAAATACAAATTGGACAATAATTTTGAAACGGAGAAAGTTTTTTTTTTTTTTTGTACACCACGTGTCATTGTTTAACATCGAATCTAAAATGCAAGAGCGCTTTAAAGTGACGCATTTAGAATCTTTCTCACTGTTGTAGTGTTTTATCTTTTTCTTTTTTTTTCTTAGACCACGTGTAATAACCTAACACTATTTCTAAACATGCAAGTGTCATTTGAAGAGACGCCATTTGGAGTTTTTCTTACAGTCCAGGTGTTTTATTTTCGTTTATTCATAAACAAAGTGTAATAGTCTAATACTGAATCCAAACATGCAAGATCCGTTTGGGAGGCGCACTACTTAGAGTGATCTTTTTTACGGTCCCAGTGTTTTATCCTCCTTTTGTCATAAATCACGTGAAGTAGCATCAGTACGCGATAGTCATCTGAACTGTATTTGAGTAGGAGGTGTACTCTTGGAATATTTCTCAGAGTTCTGTATCTTTTTTTCTGTAGGTCACGTGTAATAACTTACAGTCCCGATGTTTTTTTTCTTTTTTTTTTCATAGATGACGTGTAATAGTCTAATGCTGAATCTAAACATGCAAGAGTCGTTTGGGAGGCACACTCTTAGAGGGATCTTTTTTACGGTCCCAGTGTTTTATCCTCCTTTTGTCATACATCACGTGAAGTAGTATCAGCACGTGATAGTCATCTGAACTATATTTGAGTAGGAGGTGTACTCTTGGAATATCTCTCAAAATTCTATATCTTTTTTCTGTAGGTCACGTGTAATAACTTACAGTCTCGCTGTCCTTTTTTTTTTTTTCCATAGATGACGTATAATACTCTAATGCTGAATCCAAACATGCAAGAGCCATTTGGGAGGCACACTACTTAGAGTGATCTTTTTTACGGTCCCAGTATTTTATCCTCCTTTTGTCATAAATCACATGAAGTAGCATCAGCACGCGATAGTCATCTCATCTATATTTGAGTAGGGGGTACTCTTGGAATATCTCTCAGAGTTCTATATCTTTTTTCTTGTAGGTCACGTGTAATAACTTACAGTCCCGATGTCTTTTTTTTCATAGATGACGTGTAATAGTCTAATGCTGAATGTAAACATGCAAGAGCTATTTGGGAGACACACTACTTAGAGTGATCTTCTTTACGGTCCCAGTGTTTTATCCTCCTTTTGTCATAAATCACGTGAAGTAGCATCAATACGCGATAGTCATCTGAACTATATTTGAGTAGGAGGCGTACTCTTGGAATATCTCTCAGAGTTCTATATCTTTTTTCTGTAGGTCACGTGCAATAACTTACAGTTCTGATGTCTTTTTTTTTTTTTTCCATAGATGACGTGTAATAAGTCTAATGTTGAATCTAAACATGCAAGAGCCATTTGGGAGGCACACTACTTAGAGTGATCTTTTTTACGGTCCCAATATTTTATCCTCCTTTTGTCGTAAATCACGTGAAATAGCATCAGCACGCGATAGTCATCTGAACAATATTTGAGTAGGAGGTGTACTCTTGGAATATCTCTCAGATTTCTATATCTTTTTTTTTTCTATAGGTCACGTGTAATAACTTACAGTCCCGATGTCTTATATATATATATTTTATAGATTACGTGTAATAGTCTAATACTGAATGTAAACACGTAGGAGCCGTTTGGAAGGCGCACTACTTAGAGTCTTTTTTACGGTCCCATTGTTTTATCCTCTTTTCGTAAACCACGTGTAGTAACTTAGCATCAACACGCGATAGTCATTTGAACTTTATTTGAGTAGAAGGTGTACTCTTTGAATATCTCTCATAATTTTATATCTTATCTTTTTTTTTTCTGTAGGTCATGTGTAATAACTTATATGTTCCGTAAAACTCGCAATATGACAGTCTACACAAACAAACATGGTTTTGTTACAAGATATAAATCATGTTGAAAGGAAACGAAACTTGTCATTGTTCTCAAACGAAAATTGTCATTGGAGTCCTGTCTTCAAGTGGAAAAACTCACGCTAAAACTCCTCCCCAAGGTATAGTAGTATTTGTTGTTGTGGTTTTTAGTTTGTTGACGTACGTACTAATTGTCCACTATGATTTGTTGTATTTGGCCTTCTTAAGCTTCTGGATTTGTAACGCTCATTTCCGTTATGAAGCTGGGAAAATTAGCTGTCATGATTTCCACTAATACAGAGCCAAAAATGCATGCCAAGAAAAAGAAATTTGGATAGTGCATTTGAATTTGTAGTAAAAAACCACTAACTGTTTGTTGCATCAGTAATTGGCACCACGCCTTTTTCATTAATAATCACACGACTCTTTTGAGGGTAGAAAAATAAAATACAGTAAAAGGGTTTATGAAAACGAAGTGATATGCTGATTATTATAACTAAGTTTTAGAGGACGGATCAATTAATAAATAGTTTAATCCTTTGGTATAGACATTGCAAAAATGCTTAAAAATTATGAACGTTTGATTTACATACTCAACAGCTCCCTTATAAATGCCTTTATACCATCACCATGGCAATTTTAAGGAAAAAAAAAAATAAAACAAAAAAGGTAAGTCTGAACTGTGAACTTTTTACCCTGAATGTAGTCATGTTGTGATATTTTTCCTTTTTTTTTGGAAATTAATGCAAAAAAAAAAATCAAAATGCCATAATATATATCTACTAGGTGTTAGACCCGTCCGATGGACGGGGAAGGCATACACATTTAGACATTTTTATATAAATTTTGTATTTTAATAAAATATGTAATGATTTCAGTTTTAAACATGATTACCTCTGGGTTTACAGGAATTTGTTTTTTTTAAATGACATTTTAAATTCACTGGTGACAAGGTTTATGCAAATCTCTCTAAAATTTGTTAGGATTTGGTACTCTCTCCAATTAATCTCTGTGTTAGGATTTGGTTCATGAAAATAAGGGTTCGGTTTTTATTATTTTATTTTTAAAAATTATTTTAGTTGCTTTTTTTTGTTTTATTATTTTGTTTTGTGCATTTTTAAGTCTAAGAAATTAAGAAAATGTCACATAGGATTAAATTCTATGTGGCATGTACTCCATGCCTTTAGTTTTCTCTCTCTGGTTTTTGTTTTAGTATAGTATATATATATAATATAGATAGATAGATAGATGTTATACTATTAACCAACCACTGAAGTTTACCATAATTCATTGAATTTTAACTAATTATCCCAGTTTAATTAGCAAAGAAGAATTTTTCAATAATTACAGTACAAAAGAGTTTGAGGCAATGTACTTCTTTTTCTTTTTCTTTTATTCTTTTTATACTTATTTTTTCCACAAGAGGAAAAAACATAAAAAAATAACCCACTAGCGGTGTTCGGCCGGAGGAAACGTCTAGGTCTAAACCCTTTTCTCTTTCACACAGTCACACAGTGAACACTGCGGCCAGGGGGGGGTTTGAGGTGGTGTCTTTTTTGGGCGGGGTTCCTAATTACTACATCTCCTCAGCTTAAACCCAACAGCACTTTTGAGTACGCTAATACAGCCTCAGAACCCAGTATTTCCCCGAAATCCCTCACAAAAGAAGGTCCATACTCCCCAAAGCGGTGTATAAATACACACTATATGTTTATCTCATGACCACCGTCAACACACAACTCATTTCAACATCGCCCTTCTTTGGTAATTGAACCTCCTTCCTTTTTTCTTCACTGCAATACAAAGCTCCTTCTGCCCCATACCAATGGAACAGGCAAATTCCGACGTATCTAGAGCCGAGGAACTTAAAGTTCAGGCTAATGAAGCGTTTAAAGGTATCCCTTTTGGGCACTGTGTGTTTCTTTGATTAATGTTTTCTGTTTCTCGGTTTCGTTCTTCTGGTCCATTAATTTGCAATTTTTTTTGGACTTTTGTATTTGTGAATTCAACTGGGGAATTCTTGTTATTGGGTTTTACTGATTTTTTGCTTTTTTTTTGTTTTTTTTTTTTAAATTTATTAATTTATGCATGTAGCTCACAAGTTTCATCAGGCGGTGGATCTTTATACTCAAGCCATTGAGTTGAATGGCGGCAACGCCGTGTACTGGGCTAATCGAGCATTTGCCCATTCAAAATTAGAGGAATATGGAAGTGCCATACTGGATGCTACCAAGAGCATAGAAATTGATCCCAAGTACTCCAAGGTTTGAATGTTATGATCTTTGCCGGATTTTTTCTGTTGTAAAAATATTTCTGATGAACTTGGCTCAGTGCGCCGTTACTCATTGGGTGTTTGGATTTGTCTATGCAGGGCTATTACAGGCGTGGTGCAGCTTATTTAGCTATGGGGAAGTTTAAGGAAGCTCTGAAAGATCTTCAACAAGTAGGATTTTGTTCAATTACTGATGCGTCACCATTGATTGTCGTTATTTTTGTTGCATTTGTTCCACCTAGTGTGAAAAAAGGCTTGTTGTTGTTGTTGTTGTTCTCCATTTTGAATCTCGTATAGAGCTTAATTCACTGACCAAACTTTGAATATTTAGAGAAACCTTATACTTCAGTTCTGTCTGTCTCTTATGGTTTTCGGAGAAAAGTTGAACGCAAATATTTAGAGGGTAGTTGCCATTGATAAAAGTGTGAATTTTTTAGTTAAAATTGTAAAGGTGCGACATTTTAGCTTTTCTGATGAGCAGATGGCAAGATGTGGCAAACTCTGTTAACTCTTTGTATTACTGTAAAAAAAAAACTTTGTGGGGCTTGATGGAGAATTAAAGGGGTCAAATTTATGTGGAACATTCAATTGTAACTCCATACTTCTATTGGTCTTTCTTATCTACAGGCTTATTCAAAAGAATTTCTTTTGTCCTTGTGCATTCTCTCTTTGCTTTTCTTTCTGATATGTTTGTTTTAATCTTTTTAACCTTGATGTGTTAATTGGCCTTTTCATTTCCGGGCTTAATCTGAATTGTAGGTAAAGAAGCTATGTCCGAATGACCCTGATGCAGCGAAGAAACTGAAAGAATGTGAGAAGGCTGTCATGAAGCAAAAGTTTGAGGAAGCTATCTCCGTTCCTGATTCTCAGAAGCGCTCTGTGGCTGAAACTGTTGATTATCATACGATAGGTATGATTTACTTATTTGGTAGTTTCAAAGTTGCCATGTTTCCGCCAATAAGTCTATTTTAATGTTGAAGAAAGTTCCTCCATACGCACATCTGGTCTTGTGGCATTTTCTCTTGAATTTAATGTTTCCTTCACGGTGGCTAAGTTTTCTTTTGTGGAGAGGAGCTAAGCTTTCTGTTGCATGCATGCTTTTGCTTATCGACTAACCCCTTTGAGCACGTAACCATCGTCCTTTCCATTAATAACTTTGCACGTGTCCTTGCTGTTATCTTTTACTACAAGTTGGTAATAAATGGTTTTGGTTCATGAATGCCTGATCTTGTTTGCTGCACACACGACGTTGGTGTCATTAAAATGCGTAATCATTGGGACATGTCTTCAGTTGACAATGCCATTCAGTGATTGCATATTTTCTGGTTTCTGTTCAAAAGCTGAGTGTATTATGTCTTACAGCACCAATCCGGCAATGAAATTTTTTAGTAAATCTTCAACAGTAGTTGGTACGTTCTATGATGAAGGTAAGGGAGATTCGGTGTTGTGGTGTCTAGATTGTTGACGGAGGTGGGAATTTTTGTTACCAGTTATGGTTCCAGTTTCTTAATATATCCAGTTGCTTCCTATATCTGAAATGAGGTTATATAGACGGCTTTTGTAATGTTTCATTGGTTTGGTGTTTATTTTTCTGGTCCCATGAGTTTAAGAAAGTCAAAGGAATTGCAGCAAAGACGGGGCTGTTCCCATTTGCTTTCTGTCTGCTGAATAGTGTTGGGGTTTTTTCGTTTGAATCTCTGTTGTCAAGGATATCATCATAAATACATAGTGTGAGGAATATTTTATTATTATGTTTTTTTTTCTGTCTCATAGTATCAGAATTAATGCTGTAGGGAAGTTCTGAATGATTAACTCCAACTAGAATGTTTCATTTCCTATTACTTGTCTGCATTGAATTTTTGCAGTACTCTAATATGCCACATGATACTGTATCTTTTGCTGGGCTTACCTGTTACTATTTGTCCAGAGTGTTTAATTTTTACTGCTCCGTTGTCGGTTTGATCTCGTCATCTCTTAGGTGTTTAGCTTCTATTGTTGTGTGTGGAATGTGAGTGCAGGGCAAAAGTGCACTTTAGGTGCTGGGTCTGACCTGACATGTCCAATTTTTCTGTGAAGTTGTTCCTTCCCTTATTTTCTTTTCGCCATGCATAAGAATGTTAACAAAAGCCTATTCTTCGATGTCTTGAAACCTCTTGAACAATTCATTTTTAATTTCACCATGTATAGGAATGTTGACAAAAGCCTACTCTCCCATGTCTTGAAACCTCTTGAACAATTCGTTTTTAAATAGATTAGTGAATTAGAGGTTTGCAATCACCTGAAACAATTCTATCCTACTAGTCCTATGTCTTTCGCGACTTACCTTATTCTTTGGATACAGGTCTGCAGGAGATCTTATTTTTCAGCCAAAGATCACATTTTATCTTAGGCATGTCTGAAGTCAAATAGGAAGGGGGATAGATTCATTAGGCTCGAAGAAACACGTGAGAATATACCCAAATTTTAGAGAAATTAGTGGCTTTGACATTCAAACTTATCTTTAGGAATTCTTATGAAGCTCTCCATGACTTTAGTTTTTCTCCGTACATTTCATCTCTGAGGAATTTCCTTTAGAGTTTTTTCCTCCAGTAACCCGGGTTAATTAAAATCCTGCTGCAAGCTTTACGTAAGGCTTTTCATAACACTAATTTACTCTGAACCTGGAGTCACCTTTCCTTATCCTGTTTTTGGGTCTGGTCACAGCGTCTGCAGTGGTTCTTAGACCCCAAAGTCAAATGAGTTCGCAGGAAGAAAAAACCCGTCAAAATTTTTGATTTTCTTTTTTAGTCCAGTGTATTGTCCACATTGGTAGGTCTTACTCTATCTTTCACCTATTTTATCGTTATAGGACCGGGCCCAGACTCATCTAATTCCCCCCCCAAGATTATGGCTGTAGCAGTGGCAGTAGTTCTACTGGCAGTGCTGATGGTATATGTTGGAAGTACTAAAGCAGCCATAATGGTGACAGCTTCATCCATGGCAATGGCTATGATGTTCTTGGGGATTTGGTGGCTGCGCAGCAATGAACATGTCTTTTCCAAGAATCAAAGTCTTGACCTAGGTTTGGACCTCTTAAATGACTTAATCAGTGAGGAAGGATGTTAATCATATCTAATGTTATAGAAGTTCATTTTTAGCTCTATATTAACAGACATTAATCAAGAGAAACAATGTTCCAATTATATATTCCTCTCCTTGTGGTTAAAAAGTAAGCTTAACTATTTTTAGCTCAAAGTATTAAATGCTTGAGCAGCATTACACGCAAAAGTCACATTCTTTCCCTAAAAGTCACATAAGAATGCTTTGAATGTTGAAAACTTGAGTTTACACTGGATGGCAAGCTTCAGGGTGAAGTCAATTTTAGACTAGGGGTTTGTTATCAACCATCAAATCTCTTCGGCTAGGAACATCTTTGATAGAGTGCCTGTCCCCTTCTTTCTTCATCCTGTTAACACACCTCCTTTTTCTCGTTTCTGTGGCTTCCGATGTTTATTATATGGCCTATCTTGTGCTGGATGATTTATAGCTTCAATAAATTGGTTGACATTATTATAACGGAGTTTAGAATGGCGTCTACAGTTGAATGGAGTTCAACTCTCTCTCTTCAGCCTTCTATATGATGTGCAAATGTGATATCAGTCCTGCTCCTTGGATGAAACCTTTTGGCCGCCAGTTTACCAACCAATAGTTACTCATTTGCTTCGATTTCCTTCATCATCTGCCTTTCTATCTCTCTGCTGGTTATCCTCTTTAATTCTTTCAGAGGAAAAGTATTTGTATTTGTCACACCTTCTCAATAAATCCCATAGTAGTTTGCTTGGATGCTGGGCCATTAAGATTGTAACGATATTCTTTGGTGTGGCTTGTCAGATGAACAGTCTTTCTCCATCAGTGCTGGGGATGGCTTGCTATTATACCCTCTTACGTAAAGTTTCTGTGGTCATAACATGTAAAATTATGACCCCGTTGCAATAATACCATGATTTACTTAATTAGAACGTCCTTTTAGCCATTAAGATTTTGTTCAGATTTTTTTTATTACGCTGTCTTTATATCTTTAGTGTCTCTGCATAATGTATAACTGCTTAATATGGAGTCGATGTAGACCTTAATTTTTTTGCAGATATTCTTTTTATATTTAAGAGTTGCTTTGTTTTGCTAGTTTCTCAGTGTAAGCGAAACAAATGAAAAGAATTTATTAGCTATTAAAAAGGCCTTAAGTTGTTTTATGCATTTCAACTGCAGAAGTGGAGTCAGAGTATGATGGTGCGAGGCTAGAGGGAGACGTTGTTACTCTGGAATTTGTGAAAAAAATGATGGAAGACTTCAGGAATCAGAAGAGCTTGCATAGAAGGTATTGTAAGAGTGGTAAGTATTGTTGTCAGTTCACTATATTTTTTATGCTGACTTTTTTCTCTTTAGGTATGCGTTGCAGATAGTCTTACAAGCGAGAGAGTTGCTGCGTCCATTGCCATCTCTGGTTGATATTCGTGTACCTGATGGAAAGCACTTCAATGTGTGTGGTGATGTCCATGGTCAGGTAATAAAGCTCCTGTTTCTGATAGCGAGCACACTTCATGGATTCTATTTCTGCTGGGGTTATGCAGAAGATGTGAAACTAAAAACTAATGTTGATGCATATATCTGGGGTGATTGATAAGGAATCTAAAGACATTAGACCATGTAACTTCCCCCCCCTCTTTCCCTTCGGTTTTAGTGCTTGCCTTTGCTGAACTGTGGGGTAAAGTTTCTGCAGCTCTTGGTTTTGTATATGAGTTCTGTTGGTTGAATGGTTGTTTTGTAAAGTTTCAGTTTTGTATATGAGCTCTTGGTATTTCAGCTTGTTCTGTCAAATGCGATAGGTGGTGTGCACTGAAGTCTTTCCTTGAATTGCCTTCACTCTTAACTATCAAAAGTAGTTTGGGACAAAATTTTAAGAGTTAAAGGTGAATTTTAGTGGATGTGGCAGATTGTACGTTTTGCTTGCTGGTTCCCTTCAACTTGATTTTATGCTTGTCAGCATTATCTTAGAATAGCAATTGAAGCAGTAGAAACTGAAAGATCAGCATTAGCTTGCAATAACATTAGCTATAAACACTCATGGGAACTGTCAAGTTCCTGTTTACCCACCTGTTTCTTTTTCTCCACACCAGTTTAATAATTGAATTTTCTTCTCTGTTCTTGTGCAGTATTATGACCTATTGAACATATTTGAGCTGAATGGTCTTCCATCAGATGATAACCCATACCTCTTCAACGGTGATTTTGTGGATAGGGGATCTTTTTCTGTTGAGGTTATACTTACTCTGTTCGCGTTGAAATGCATGTCTCCAACAGGTTGTTTCTTTTATTCCTTCGATCTTTATGTTTCATCTTTTGTCGGTTGCTTATTTGTGTTCAGTGATGCTTTTTGGATAATTTATGTCTCGATTTTTGGGTCAATGTGATTGCTGAAGCTCAGACCAATGTGATGTATTAGTTTAGCTCTGAACCACTACCTTTCATAATCTCTTTCCAGTCTCTAAACATCCCCCTTATGTGTTTTTTTTAATTTATTTTTTCCTTTTTTCTTTTTCTGAATATTCTTGTTCGGGATCATTAAACGTAATTAATTCGACATTAATGGAGGGATGGTTGGTTTAAAGAGATCTTTGTTGTTAAGCTTGTGCTTCAGGATTTTGAATCTTTGTTATGCTACTCAGCAATTGTGCTCTTTGATTTGGGCTTGTCCTTCAGTCAACGAATAAGACTAAACATTCCTAAGGAAGTTTCTGCTACTTCTTTGGTTGGAGTTGTTTTCTGTTTTAAACTAAAGTGGCCTGCATTAATATTGTTCGCCGTGGAACTTACATAGTTGCTACCATGTGCAGCTTTGTATCTTGCCCGAGGGAACCATGAGAGCAAGAGCATGAACAAAATTTATGGTTTTGAAGGGGAAGTCAGATCCAAACTAAGTGAAATGTTTGTGGAGCTCTTTGCTGAAGTTTTCTGCTGTCTTCCTCTGGCCCATGTTTTGAATAACAAGGTGTTTATAGTACATGGGGGCCTTTTCAGTGTTGACGGGGTCAAGCTCTCAGATATTAAAGCCATTGACCGTTTCCGTGAGCCACCAGAGGAAGGTAAACTCTAGTATATATAACCTGAGAAACTTCTGTTTTACTTTCCTTGGTGGTAATGCTGCTTAAGAAACAAAGAATACACCTACCCTTGGTGGTACGTGTGTTGTTCTGTGTTATACAGGCTTCAATACCTTTAGAATGTATGTTGATATCCAATTTTCCAGGGCTAATGTGCGAGGTCCTGTGGAGTGATCCACAGCCTCAGCTTGGGAGGGGACCTAGCAAACGAGGAGTTGGTTTATCGTTTGGTGCTGATGTGACAAAACGGTTTCTCGAGGAGAATAATTTAGGTATTTCTTCACCACCTCCACCTATGCTTCGCGACTGTTTTTCAAGTGTTGCTACGCATCTCCTTGTCGGTTATCTCATTTTTTGGGTTTAAACAGTTTATTGACGGTAGTACTTACGTATTCTGTACTTCTTCTGCTGAATCTTCTTTGTAGAGTTGGTGGTGCGATCACATGAAGTAAAAGATGAAGGTTATGAGGTCGAGCATGATGGCAAATTGATAACTGTATTTTCTGCTCCCAACTATTGTGATCAGGTAATAAAATATTCTTCGGTCATTTTTTTCCCCCGTACTCTTACTGGTTCCTCACTTCATGATCAAAATGCTGGTTTCAAAATATGGTTAATCATATAGACTACTGGTTTTTATCATTACAGTAAGATTTTGCTCTTATGTTTACAAAAATCTGAAAGATTCACCTTTTCTGTCTACCTTGTGGAAGTTAGAATCTTGATCTGCATGTGTCTTCTTTTTTGAGAACCTCAGCAATCTTTATTTCTTTCCTTGATCTTGCATAGAAATCGCGTTTTCTGAATTTGTGTATTTTCATGGAATACAGATGAATAACAAAGGTGCATTCATCCGATTCGAAGCCCCCAGTATGAAGCCAAACATTGTCACATTTTCAGCAGTGGTTAGTATCTCTTCTCTTTTATATTCTGGACGTTTGTGTTTTGGACCTTTCTAGGATTTTGCTCTTTCCAGCTGTGCATCAGAATCACTCTTATGTCCCCGAATGTTGAATCATTTTACAATATCCCAACTACACATGAAATCGTCTGACTTCTTGTTTTCTGATAATATTGCAGCCTCATCCTGATGTCAAGCCCATGGCATATGCCAATAACTTCTTCAGAATGTTCAATTAGCCCATACAACCTGACCTGGATCCAAAAAGTCAATGTTAAGACAGTATAGCCATCTTGTTGCAACAGGTGTAAATTTGTTGGACCTAGGTGGAAGGCAGACAATTCATGTGAAAAGCATTTCTTTTTTCTTTTTTTTTTTCTTTTTTAATTTTTAATGTAATAGTATTTTGAAGACTCTTTGGTGGTAAATTTGGTCAAAAGAACTTCCTAATTAGTCAGTCTCATTAAACTTGATATCCTGTTTTGATTTTTAATAGTTGGTTAAACTGTAATCAGTCTGGATGATACTTTCCTGTATATTATTCTCTCCTGTTAAATTAAAGTGTTGCTTCTGCATGCGTTTGTGTTTTTACCCTTTGTGGTTTGGACCTGGAGAGCAGAGAAAAAGTTGGTTATAGGTTTTCAGATGTGGAAGAACTAAACCCGCCTTAACTCTTACCTACATCATTTGGAAAGAAGGTTTGATGAATGTATGTCCTGATTGTTACTTTCTATTCTTGTGTGACTAAGTATTTCTTTCACTGAAATCAAAGATTGAAAGCTACCCACGAATCTACAAACAGCAGACAGTCAATCTTGATCTGCAAGGCAGTTCAAGAACTCTTAAAACATTGGAAACACAGCAGCCTTTCATCCTCTGTAGTATATAGTGGAAGTTTTTTTCGCAGACTATGAGGAAAGACACAAAGAAAACTAGCTAGCAATGGCAAAAGTTCTCAACACAATTCTCATCCTTGTATACTTTTCTGTGGCTCTGTTAGCCACGGTAGCTGAAATGAAGAGAGACATCTGGTATAATGAAGAAGAGATCTTGTCTAAAGACGAAATCCAGGAGGAGGAATTTTTCAGAAAGGGTTTGGGGTGGGGCAGAAGAGGCATAGATAGACATAGGGGATTCATCAGAGGAAAGAGCAAGATAACTCCATGGCCGAGAAGCAAGAGCTGGACTAAGGGATTTCCATACGTGAGGCCTAGACATGGCGTATTTCGAAGATGGCCGGGTGGAAGAAGAGCTAGCCGGGAACCTGAAGTGGGAGGAATTCCAGAACCTGATGTAGGAAATGAGCCTGTACCTGATGTGGGACCAAATCCAGAGCCGAAGCCTGAAAATGGACCGGCACCAAGACCCGAAGAAGTAATCAAGCCGGGACCAGGGCCTGAAGCAGCAATCCAGCCGGTACCTTCACCGGAACCCAATCCGGTACCTCAGCTTGGACATGGAAATGAACCTGCTGCACCTGTACCTGTACCTGTACCTGTACCAGTAGTGGAAACAAATCCAGGGCCTGGAGAAGGAAATTCCCCAAGACCTGAAGAAGTAATCAAGCCTGTACCATCGCCGCCTCAAGAAGGAATCAACCTGGAACCTAAAGAAACACCGAGTCCAGCACCTCAGGCCGGAATCAGGCCTAGACCCGTTGAAAGAACATATACAAGTCCTGAAGAAGGAAATTCCCCGAGACCGGCAGAAGCTTCCAAATCTGGACCAGATCCTGACGAAGGAATCGACTCTGAACCTAAAGAACGAATGAGCCCAGAACCAGAAGCGGGGATGAGGCCTGGACCGAGCGAAAGAACAAATCCACCTGAAGAAGGTGAAGCTGAAAACAGAGCAGGTCCACCTGAAGTAGTCGGAATTGCGCCTGGACCTGATGTTGGAGATAAACCATTAAACTTGAATAAAGGATCAAGTTCAACAAGCGTGCCTCCAGAAATGGAGACACATCTGCAACCCTTGTATGGATTGGAATCCTGGCCTTAGTCCTCTGAGGATTTCCATGTCCATGGCATTTTGTTTACATGAAAATATTTTTGTTTCTTCTTTCTAGGTAGTTAGTTAAATTCAATGTCCTGTTTGTGAATAAAACACATCAGAAAAAGAAAAAGAAAAAAAAAATCTCTGCTAAAATCTGAAAATTATCATCCACATAGAAATAAAATTCTTTCTATTTCAGTGATCATCTATTGAGGTGTCAGTAACAAAAGGAAAGCATCTTTAAATTCTCCAGTGATCGATTAACTTCATTCATACAAAGTGTTAGCAGTCAGAAGAAATGCATAAGCAGCAAGGAAAGATTTCTGAGGAAACCCCACTCATAGAATTTTCCAAATTGAAGCCTTTCAAGAGATTTCGTCTCTGCCGGGGGAAAATCCATTTTACCTTATGGAAATAAGAAAGCGACGACAACATAAACAGCAATATTCCTGATTCAAGCACCAAAATGTCCAAAGGCATCTAATCTTTTGGTATCCTTTTTGTATGTGAGTTATTCTTGAGCATAAGTTGCGTGTGTCATTGATTATCATATCTTTTATTACGTTTTTAAGTTACTACTTTCGTAATATTAATAGACTATTTAATATTCTTTTTATCTCAAAATAGTTGTCCAGTTCGTAAAAAATCTAAACTGGACAATCATTTCAGGATGGAGAGAGTAATATTTTTTTTATCTTTAATATTAATATTTCTTACAAAATAATGATTCAACTTAAAAGAAAAACTGTCAAATAATATTTATTTCATATTAGAGTTGGTGATAAAAAAGTGTCATAATACTTTTTAGTTTTTACCGATTGATCGGCAAAAATGAAACATGCACAATTATTTCCAACAGCTCATTATATCTTCTTCCATCTGCTTCTTTCTTTATTTATATGTGTCTTTTCTTGTATCAAGTTTTTATGATAAAATGGCTTATGAGTTATGACCCTACCTTTTTTTTTTATTCAAAATTTCTCACTCAAAATCATGACCCACCCATCATTTCAATCACATCTATGCTCCCAACACATTATTCACTACTCTGTCACTTCCCCCCACCCTCTTCTTTTTTTTTTTTTTTTCCCCATATATTCTTTTTAATCCATCCCTCCACACTCAAATAATAAGCCAATTTCTTGAAGCCAAAATTTACCAAAGAGCTTCTTTACTTCATCAAAAACATTTGATCAAAATGTGGTGTTTAATATTGGTTTTTCTGAGGGTTACTCTGCTGTTTTCTTTCTTCCCTTTGATATCTTCATCAACCAGTGAAATGGATCCACATGAACTTGAAACATTGTTCAAGATTATGGAGACATTGTCAGCTGATCAAAACTGGAGAGAATCTCATCCTAACCCTTGTAAACCAGGCTCATCTTGGAATGGAATTGAGTGTAAAACTACAGGGAATGATGGTTTCATTCATGTCTCCAGGCTTGATTTCGGCATTCCACCAAATCCTTCTTGCAAAGAAACAGCCATTTTTCCTGCAGAAATCTTCCTGCTCCCCCACCTTGAGTCTGTATTCTTCTTTCAATGCTTCACAAACACTAAAACAGTCATTTCTTTTCCAGAAGCAAATCAATTGCTGGTTAATTCTTCACTCCAACAGTTGAGTATCAGATCAAATCCTGCACTTGTTGGCCTAATCCCATCACAGATTTCTTCGTTGAAATCGCTAGAAATCCTGACATTGTCTCAGAACAAATTCCATGGTCCAATTCCAGCTCAGATTTTCAGCTTGAAGTCTTTATTGCACCTTGATTTCAGCTACAATATGATAACTGGGAAAATACCATTTCAAGTTGGGAATCTGGGAAAACTAGTTGGCCTAGATTTGAGCTACAACAGTCTGACAGGTGCAATTCCCAACACAATTGGCCAACTGGGCATGCTTCAGAAGCTTGATTTGAGCTCCAATCAACTCACTGGAAGCATCCCAATTGCACTTTTCAATCTGCAGTCTATGGTTTTTATTGCACTGAGCAGCAATAAAATAAGAGGGTTCTTCCCTGTTGGACTCTCAAAGCTGCAGAATTTGCAATACTTCATCATGGATGATAATCCAATGTTCACATTACTGCCATCAGAGTTTGGTGACTTAGAGAAACTTCAAGAACTCAGGCTGGCCAATTCAGGCTACTTTGGCACCATCCCATCAAGTTACTCAAAGCTGAGTAATTTAAGCACCCTGTCATTACAGAACAACAGATTAAGGGGCGAAATACCAGTTAGTTTCGGCAACTTATCGCGCATTTATCACTTGAACTTGAGCAGGAATTTCCTGGATGGAGTTGTGCCTTTCAACTCAAGTTTCCTAAGCAGGTTGGGGAAGAATTTAGACCTTAGTGGCAATCCAGGCTTATGCCTGAGCCCAAATGATGCACATGGGTTCAACCTTGGAGTCAACATCTGTAAAAGCAGTAAGAAATCTGGGTTGCCATGGCAGAAATCTGAAGCTCACCATCATCATCATCATCAACCGCATGGATTAACATCATTTTTTGTAACCATTATTATTACTCTCATTTCTGTAGCGTGGGCACATTTATTTCTCCACATTTAGTGCCTTTCATGTGATTTTTTTTTTCTTTGCAACACTACTACTGTAGAAGAGGTCAAATATGTACCTAATATTAGGTAATTTTTAATGATGTAAATTCATTTCTGAATGCTTATAATTGCTTGCAACTCATTGAATATGGCTGAAAAAAACTTTAATTTACCATTTGAAATACTTTCAAGTCTGCTATTCATGCAGGAGAATGGTTGCAGGTTTCCAGTTTAATCAACCATGGAAAGTAATAAGTGGAGGGACAATGCAATTCATGCATCAGATTCCAATTTTGTTTCAAGAACATGTTTCTGAATTTTTTTTTTTTCTTCTTTTCCTCCTCTGTTATCTGTGTCACACCAATATTTTCAAACTAAATGCTCCACTATCTGAACCAAAAAGGACAATTTGACCGTGTGAGTGGTTTCTGGTTTTAGTACTGATATAAGTGAAGTTCCAAAGGCTGTGTGCCTGTTTTCTACTAAAACCATGTTTTAAGGTACATCAAAAGCAGTAAATTTCTTTTTGCAGAAATACCCAGCGAATTTAGTAATGGATATGTTTACCATAATATCTTTACTTCAAAAGATACACAAGTTTACCGTTGGGGGGAAATGTGAAATTTATTTGTCTAAAACATCTTCCCATTTATGTACCCTTGTCAAAGGTTGTTAGAAATCCTCCCTCATCGTAGGAGGGAAAGAAAGATGGCAAGAATCGAACTCATGACCTCCTCTTGTTGGATGCTCTTAACACGCGGGTTAAGGTTTGTTTCCGGGTAATGGTAATCTGAAAAATGTATAATCAAGTTGCAGATGGTACAACATATATAATAAAACAACACCATTAGTAAAAAAAAAAAGAAAGAAATTTGAAAAAAAGAAGAAGAGAGAATGGAGTATGGTGGACAAGGACTCTGCTTTAACATGAAGAAACAAGACCTTCAGAGAGAAAACTGAAACACAAAGGACACTTGATAGAACTAAAGGAACTGAAGCTGGATCCCACCCTTTTACACTCTCCTCATTTCTCAGTCTTCTGCATTGAAAATACATTTTAACTTTTATTAAGAACTACAGTATTATAAGGTACAAAAAAGAAAAAACATGCATCTTTTCACTTGCAGCTTTGCTCCCATAGCTTCATGTCTTCTTCTCTTTTACCCACTACAAGCTTTATTTTACTGTACTCTGGACTCTGGAGATCAGAGACAGCCAGATTGATGCATAAAAATAAAAGAATCTCCACCATGAGCTTCCAGTCCCATTCATTTGCTTACAAACCTTAAATTAAGGTTAATTTTGTGCTACATAAATTAAGGTTCAGGGTAGAGTTAAAATACCTTTGTGATTTGTGTGTACTTTTTTTAACCCTGGGGTGGCATCTGCTCTCCATTGGCAGAGTTTTTAGGATAAATGAGACTTTGACAACTCCTTCATCAGCCTGTTGTACAATTCTATATGTGCCAAAGTCTTGTGTTCGGGTCCCCCTTCCTCCCTCACCTCATAAAATCTACATCGATCGCCTTTGGTTATATGCTTTATTTATGAGTCGTGACAATGTTTTACATAAGTTTATTGTTAATCTAATGCAATAGGTCATTAATTAAATAAATTACCACTTTGAACAGGTCTTTATATATCATTAAAAAGCCCTAAGAGTCTAGATTACAACGCAACAAACGGTTCCGGATACGAGTTTTCTGCAGAGAGTTATGACAGTTCTAGCGGACACATATAATTCTTCTGACAAGAAAACGATCGCGAATTTAATGAGTTTCTAATCGAATTTCACTCAAATAATTTTAACTTAAGCCTAATAACAGTACTAAAATGAGTTTATTAGAGTAAACTACATTACTTCTATGATAGAAATCATTATCTAACAAATTACTAACTAAAACTAAAGCAAGGTTTCTTAATTATTTTTACTTCTTAGGTTATGGCTGCTAGCTTCTTCTTTGATAGATTCTCCTCCCTCCTCCTTTTGTCCAAATAGCAAGGTTCCTTACTCACTCTCTCATGTTTATGTCTGTGTTATTATTTTCTTTTGTTGGTGTGTAAGTAATTGAATATCACAACTCTATTTATACTAAGGTTAACTCCAGCTTGCTTCACCTAATGACTTGCCTCCTAGACATCTAATTCAGCGTTTTGTAGACCTAACAGCTCTTGTATTCAATTGCTTAATAAGTTGTGTGTTTCAGCATGTTTTTTTGTCACAATTCCTGCATTCCTTTAAGCTTTCTTCCACGTTTTTATTTTTTATTTTTATTTTTTTAACTTTGCTGAATCAATACACTAAGGTGACTAAGGTGTTTGGTTCAGCAAGTAATTGTTAATTTACTTGTCTTTTGTTGCCACCTAACACACATATATGACATGGCCATGCATGCTCCCACGTAAACTTGTTGATTAACCATTCATAATATTCATTTGAACTGCCTAGTTTGTTTACCTCTCAGTACCTAAACAAAACTACATGTAGAGCTCACCCAATCACGTGTGTTTTCTCCCTCCCCCTATTTCATTTCTTTTAGTCAAATAGTTGAGTGATATTTACTCTGTTGTAAAATTATTGTTCAATTTTAAGATTTTATTTTTAGTTCAAATTATATTAATATTGAAATCTCAAGTTGGACAATAATTTTAAGATAGAGAGAATATATATTAGTTACTGTTTAAGTTTTATTCTTTTAATGACCTACTTAAATATTATTGCCTTAACTCTATTTACTTTCTTCTAAAATTACATAGACTAGATGTTATTTAACTTTAAACTAACATAGTCATTCTTAGTTTAGTTTGAATAAATCTTACGCATTGTAATTGTAAAATTATCTATATTTAGATTTAACCTAAAGTATATGGTATCCCCTATCATTAATTTCCACCCAAAGTATAATGAAACATCAACATATATGATCTGTTGAGTCGGACAACATAATTACGTACAATAAAACTTTGAATCGGACCACTACTGATAGACTGAAACTGAATTATGATCGACTTCTTGGCTGAAATATGGCCGGGGCTGCTATAGATTGCTAAAACTTTGTCCATATATATCCAAAACATATATTTCCAAAAACAAAAGAAAATCTAACTAGACCTTCAATTCCTTGGAAGCCTACTATTGTATGTGCTGGAAAGTTTCAGCCTTTCAGGCTCAATCAGTTCAACCCAAGGTGGTAACAAGCTAAGAAAAACATCCTCTGAGGTGAATCTTATTTCATTGTCCGAAATTTCAAAGTTTTCAACTGGGGGGTTGCATGGCCCTGCTTTGAACTTGATCAATCACTGGGAATGGCAACTACCAAACAAAGAAATTCAATCCAAAAGGAGAAATATTAACCCCACACACAACAAATGAACATGGATTGTAATTCAATACACCTATTTCACCAATCAAGAAAAAAAAAAAAAAGAAAAGGGCTGTGCATGCAACTGTTTGGACATGGGAGCACCATTTGACGAAAGAATATCAAACAACTTTCCTCTTTGGTTTTGGAGGAAAACAACCATGTAGATTCAATCATGGGAGTTGTCACAAATCAAAAACATAACCATCTGTTACTATTTTTGCGTTAAGATTTTCATGTTTCAGCACAAACCCTGATCATTGATTGTCTTTCACCATCTCATGTATAAGGAGCTTTTGGCAGGTAACAACTCATTATGGAAAGAAACCCCCCAAAGAAGAAATGGCTTTTACTGCTACCTATTAATAATATTGGACAAATAATAATAGATACTCCCTCCGTCCCATTTTTTGTATCACCCTCGTCTTATCCTCAAATGAATTATGGTCAAACTGTTCATATATTTTTGTATTTAGTGCTAATTAGAATTAGTGGTCAGCTGACAAAAATAAACAGGAAGTGGGGTTTAACAAACGTCATTAACGGGTCGACATTTTGACCAAAAGAACAGAAAATTGTGTACTAAGAGAGATACCTCACGTGGGCAAAAACAGTGGGGATGGTGATCGTACAAAAGCGCTCTTTCGATGACTGTCCTTTTCTGCTTCGTTGAGGTTCAAGAGAAAAAGGGAAACAAAAAGTCTTTGATGTTTACAACAAAGGATATTAATTATTAATGCAGTGTTTCTCAAGTTATATAAACAAAAAAAAAACAAAAAAGAAGAAAAAGAAAGAGATTTTGGATGAGTCATCTTGAGTCTTGACGGAGTTCTTAATAACGTTTGACTATATTATATCAAACTAAAGTACCTCTATAAAAGTAGTGTGGGATTTTTTATTTCTTTGATTGAACCTCAAAACAAGTCATCAACCTTTAATATATTTCCACTTTAGGTTATCAATTAAATCTATTTGTAACACATGTTACCTTACTAAAGTTTTAATCCATTTGAGATTATTTTGTTAATTTTGACCGTTAAATAGTGACGGAAATCCATTTTTCACATGTTTTTTTGGTTCAAGGGTATTTTTGTCATTTTTATTTTTTATTTTTTAATATTTTAAATTTTTTTTACAATTCTTCTTCTTATACTTCCTAACTTGTATATACTGGTAGTATAATTCTAAATTTTAAAAATTTATTTTCCTTTTGTATTTTAACTTCTAGATTATAAAATTTTTTTAAAAAAATTTTAGAAATGAAGAAGAAAAATTCGAGTTAAAGTAAATATGAAAATTAATAATTTACCCTTTTAAACAAAAAAAAATTAAAATAATTAGCTAAGACAAGTTGTTTCTTCTAGGTTATTTAATTTTTTTCAACTCGATTAAATTATTTAATTATTAATTTTCATGTTTTTATTCTTTTTTTTTAAAAAAATCTACAAGTTAAGATACAAATGAAAAATTAATTTTCAAAAATGAATTTGTTTGTCATCTATATCTTAACTTCTAGATTCTTAAAAAAGAATAAGAAACGTGAAAATTAATAATTAAATAATTCAATCGAGTTGAAAAAAATTAAATAACCTAGAAACAACTTGTCTTAGCTAATTCTTTTAGTTTTTTTTTTTTGTTTAAAATGGTAAATTATTAATTTTCATGTTTACTTTAACTCGAATTTTTCTTCTTCATTTCTTAATTTTTTTTAAAAAAGATTTTATAATCTAGAAGTTAAAATATAAAATGAAAATAAATTTTTTAAAATTTAGAATTATACTACCAATGTATACAAGTTAGGAAGTATTAGAAGAAGAATTGTAAAAAAAATTTTTTTTTTCAAATATTAAAAAATAAAAAATAAAAAAATGACAAAAATACCCTTGAACCCAAAAGCATGTGAAAAATGGATTTCTGTCACTATTTAACGGCCAAAATTAACAGAATAATCTGAAATGGATTAAAACTTTAGTAAGGTAAACCTGTGTTATAAATAAATTTAATTGATGATCTAGAATGAAAATATATTAAAGGTTGATGACTTGTTTTAAGGTTCACTCTAATTTTTTTTTCAAAAACCTAAAATGAAATTCTATACAATAGAAATTAATAGGATTAGATTTTTTCACTCATACTCTCTCTATCCCATAATTATTGTTCAGTTTTACTAAAATGAAAGATTTTATTTTTGGTCAAACTTAACTATATTTTACCTTAAACAACCGGATATACCCTGCATAAGTAATTGTTTAACCACTAAGATTTTATGGATAATGTTTTTTACTAAGGACAAATGTGTAACTTGATTCATAAAAAGTCAAATTGGACAATAATTTTGGGAGAAAATTTTTTGGACAAAGTGGACAATAATTATGAGACGGAGGGAGTAATTTCTAAAGGTTTCAAATGCGAGACCTATAATTACATTATGTAACTCCAGATATATAGAGTGATTTCAATTTTCTTTTTTATATTAGAATAGACAGAAATGGCTAATAAACTTTACATAACTACATTATTAGGAGAATAATGTTACCTCATTAATATTATAACTATAGAATGCTAGAAATTCATTAGCATGCAAAGTCCGGACGTTCTTTAATGAAGGCTAACCTTGGTAAACATTACTACAATGAATATTTTCAACTCATTATTAACCTTTGACACACCATCAAAAGAATTTTGGAAATCCCCGACCATTCTAACAGGCTGATAATAATAAAAGATATATTAAACCTAATACCTTTGTATCTCGAAAAGGAATAAATAAGATTACTATTATATTACACAACTATTTTAATGGCAATGAACGCAATTATAAAACACTTTGATTTGTCATCACCTAACATTTTTTCTAATTGGAAAAAAAAAATCTTTGAAACAATTAGGAGAATACAATGAATATGAAAATGCAATTTTAAGGTTTTTTTTTTTCTTCAATTGAAAAAATATATTAGGTAAAACTTTGGACAAACCAAAATGCTAATAAGTACCGGAGGGAGTATTAAACAAGTATCTTTGGATCAAAAACAAAAGAGAAAGAAGGTAAGGTTAAAGCACCACAATTAAATAAAGACAATTCAGTTGATAACTGATAAGTCAAGTAAGTAATATAAGCAAATTGAAAGACTCGAACTTGTAAACCAAAGAGGGGTGAAAAAAACACAGATCAAACTAAGTTAAATAAATAACAAAAATAAAAGGGTTGTAGTATTTTTTTTTCCTTTTTTATAGTTAATCTCAATTTTATATGGTAATTAATACAACTAGGAAGTTCTCATAAATATCTTAGATTAGTTTTTTTTTTTTTTCGGCATTAGCGTATTTCTTTGTACCAAAAAGAAAACAAAAACTAACAAAATAAAGAAAACTGTATTATCTCCCGTTCACCTAATTTTCAATCACTGATAAACTTATTATTTGTTTACCATGCATTTTACTACAAAGTTGCCTGCTTCTATTTTAATTTAAATGGAAAAATGATAACGAAATATTGTCCCTAAGATAGACTGACGACCCAACTTAAAAGTTGGATGTTCTTTGGTTGGGCTATTTGGCCCAGAGTTACTTCTGGCCCATGACCGAAATCAGGCGGTGGCCAGCAACCCTCCGTCGTCTCTTCGGCCGGCCATCAATTAGAAAATCACCAACCTTCATAGAAGTACTTATTAGGTTTGAATTGCAGATTATTTTGCCCAATTTAAGTGAAACCTTGAGCCATCAAAAGAAACTCCACTTTCCCAATTTAGAAGTACGGATTTGGGGCTACAACTCATTTGATTTTTGCTGCAACTCATTCGACGGGAAGGGAAGGAGAAAAAGAGAAAAGAAGGGGACGACCGGTCGGAAGCCGGAGCTAGAAATCCTTTGAACCACCGGAGTGAGTGTTCTCTCGATTTTCTTCTTTAAAAGTGTTTTGTCAAATCATGCAAAGCTAATTTACTTACAGATGTATCTATCTTTGAAACTCTGGTCATGTTATGGACCCACTTATGTATTTTTCATTGAAGCTGAATTCGGGAAGGGAATTGTCTTGATCAGCTCATTAATCCGTTTTTGAAAGGCTTCATTGCAAGTATTTGCCTCAAACTCTTATTTCTCATGCTCGAAGTAGTTTAGAAATTGGAATATGATCTGTCCATGTGTTTGGAAACTGCGTTTGGGAAGTGTGATTTATTGACCTTTTAAACTTTTCGGTTGAAAAGATTGAAAGCATGTTTATCCAAGTTTTTACTCTGAACAAGTATTTCTTCAAACTCCAGTATTTAGTGATCATTATGGAACATCACTTTCTGGTTTGGCACCCAAAAAGAGTTATAACATTTTGTTTAAGGTGGGTTGATCGTGAAATGGGTGCCTGCACCAAAATTAGTTTATTTTTGACCAAGTCTTCCGTACTCTTACACTGTTGTTCCCTTTTTGAGAAGCAACAAGGCTTGTACCTTGAATTGAAATCATTTTCAAATTTGTTGCTTTCTAGTGGAATCAGAGTCTGTGATTGAGTTTATATCATCTTAATTGTGAATGTTTGACCACATTCTCGATTTCTTGCTTGAAATTGTCAGCTTGATTACTGTGACTTCTTAATTTAGTCCCTAATATTCTACCCTTTTAAGGTTATGTTTGTTTATTTTTTGGAAGGAAAAAAGTTTGGTGGCTGCTAATTTGAAGAATTTATTACATAATAGGAAAACTGGTGTTGAAAGTTTGAGAAACTGGTCTCAATCACTATTTCAAAAAGAAGATGAAAGTTGTTTGGTTTCTCTTTTCCAAGTGGAAAGTGAATAACTAACGGAGCTGAATATGTTTCGTAGAATGTTATGAAGCTTTGAAGAGGTCAACTATTTGCCTTCGACAATGGCTTCAAAGCTTTTACTGAGTCAACTCAGAACCTTGACCAACCTAACTTACCGTCGATTCATAAACCCGGAGTTCATCTGTCCCTTGCGGCCTGAATTGTTGATAGGTTCAAGGACCTACTCAGATGCTCCTCATCTTCCTCCAGTTGATCCCGTACCTTCGCCCATTATTGGCGATAATCCTCTCAGAAAGACGAAAATTTCAAGCTCTTTGAATCAAGCTGAACTTGCCAAATTTTCTGCCATTTCAGAGACCTGGTACTCACTTTAGCTCAATTACGATTTTCTGATATCATTTTTGAATAACTAAAATATTTGAGTGTGTTAAGGGCATGTTGTTGTTGTTGAAACTGATATGTTTGTGTGGATTTGATAGGTGGGATGCAGAAGGGCCATTTAAGCCATTGCATGCAATGAATCCTACAAGGCTGGCCTTTATAAGGTCCACTTTATGCCGCCATTTTGGGTAATAATGATATTCTCTTTTATCCGAAGGGGAATTGTTGTATACTGAAGAGTGAAATGGTTTTGCTAAGATGTATGCAACTTTTTCTTCTTTTTTTTTTTTTGGGGGGTCCTGGTGTTGTTTAATTTTGTTCTTCACGATGTTCCTGATGTAGGAAGGATCCATATTGTGCTAAGCCTTTTGAAGGGCTAAAATTTTTGGATGTTGGTTGTGGAGGGGGCATTCTTTCTGAGGTATGTGAATGCTGCAGGTTTTTTAGTGTTGTCAAAAGTTGGAATGTTTAATGGGGCATTAGTTTTATGGAATATGTGATCCACAGTATTAGACGAATTCAGATCTACTTTGCAAGATGACGTGTCATGTATCTTCTCATTTTGGCTATGTTCATGCTACATTATGCAAAAGTGCCTGAGGGATGGCTTCCAGTGAGAGAAAATAGGTTGTCATGATCCTCTTTGATGTATATGTTGCTCTAATGTTTGGCTCTGTGTATGTCTGCCAAGTATAAGCCTAAGCTGTCTCAATTTAACCTTGTGTATGATTTCTTCTCTTGATGCAGCCTTTGGCTCGAATGGGAGCTACAGTTACTGGAGTTGATGCTGTTGACAAAAACATAAAGATCGCCCGCCTTCATGCTGTATGTTTTGAATTCTATTAAAATTGAAATAGCATATATGCATGTTCTTATTTTTGTATTCTCAAATCACGTGACTTCCCAAACCTATTTCCAATTTCTTTTGCCCATTTCCCTTGTGCATGGATAGTTTGAAGAAAAGTATTTCTGTAGTTGATACTGACTTTTGGTTAAGCATTGATGTTATCCAGGATTTGGACCCAGTGACTTCTTCCATTGATTATCTTTGCACAACAGCCGGTACATATGCCAAACTTGTTTTTGAGATATGAAGGTTATTGTTAAATAATGCATTATTAGTGTCAAATCACCTTGGATATGCTAACGTACCATGATAACTGTCATTTTGTAAGTGAAGAAACTGTCTTCCAATATCTGTTGTCATAGACACATTTTTGGGTTGAAGCCAGTGTTGGCATTTTTTTCAGTCTCATCCATGCAAAGATGGTTTTCTATAGTTGGCTCTCTAGTTCTACCTGCTAATGCAGTTACAACTTATGAACAGAGAAACTGGTCGAGGAAAAACGAAAATTTGATGCTGTTTTTGCTCTAGAGGTATGTAATTTTGTCTGTCATTATGATGATGCCAACAAAGGGCTTTATCTCATATTAAGAGGACTGTTGTGTTTGTCATTAATACATGATTACCGCTGAATGAATATTGCCTTAAAAATGGAGTAATGCCTCTTTCGTTGTGCTATGGTAGGTGATTGAACATGTTGCAGATCCTGCTGAATTCTGCAAGTCGTTGTCGGCATTGACTGTCTCTAATGGGGCCACTGTTGTTTCGACAATTAATCGTTCAATCAGAGCTTATGCAACAGCAATTGTTGCAGCTGAGTACATCTTGCATTGGGTATGTCAGTTTAACCCGTGCTAAAGTGGTGTTGCCCTATAATTGGTTCCCTTTCCTAGGAACATTTTTTGTTTTTCTCTATTGGAATAAGCATTTTGTTTTGTGATATTCATAGCTGCATGAGTCAACTCCTGATGTTACATGAAGAATGTCATAATATGATAGCTTGGTTATGTGGTTTAACCACTCAAGCATTATTCCTGCAACTGAACGTCATAGGAGCCTCTCCTTTCGAATATTTGTCTCTGCTGTAGTGAATACAATGAGGTTTTCAAAAAATATGTAAAGTAAAGTGTTAAGTTCTGTGATTCTTGATGACCAGCAACATTGCCAAAATGTTGCGTTGGTAGGATTCACGTCTTTTATCAGTTGCTACAACGTAAGAATGGCAATAGTAGATCATCTAACTGGGTCACGATTCTAATATGATTCATGTTTTGCTCTGATGGGAAAGTCATTGCTAGGGGTACTTTTTAAGCACCAAGTGATAGGTTTTATGTTGAATTTTGGATATGACAATATAGTTCCATCTGGCAGCTGCCTAAAGGCACGCATGATTGGTCAAGTTTTCTTACTCCGGAAGAGCTGGTTTTAATTCTTCAACGGGCCTCCATCTCTGTAAGTGAAATGGTTGGATGGACTAGTTTCTTTTTTTCCTTAGTAGTTAAATATTGTTCATTGCATCTTAGTAAGGCTTCTCATTGGTGGTTCTGAAGATTCCTTTTCACTAACTCCCAGGTTCAAGAGATTGCTGGGTTTGTGTACAACCCGTTGACGGGCAAGTGGTTTCTATCGGATGATATCGGCGTAAATTTTATTGCATATGGCGCCAAAATTGATGAATGAGCAACCTGTTACCCCAAGCTAAAAGTTTTGTTAAAGTTGTGCCATCTACTCGAGGGTACTGTGGATCAATTAGGCTGTGGAGCTGGTGAAAACGGAATCGTAAATAGAAGACCTTTATTGGGAGGGCCAACGGTCCTGGTTTGGATTCTGATATCTGCATTTGATTCTGTTTTGACAAAGATTGTGAATCAACAATGTATAATGTATCCAAAAGAAGAAGAGTGAGACCACTAATCTCTCACTTGTAATTCTGCTTGGATTCTGTTTTGGCTTTTTCACAGAGAGGAAGTAAAAAAGAAAAAGAAATAAGCCGAATCGGCTTTGGGAGTTGGACCGGCCCATTCTCTTGCGTCTCGGGATGCTAAACTCTGGTACTTTGCTTGTTTGGATAGTGACATTTTATTTTTATTATTTTTTCTGGATTTTGGTACGAGAAAAGGTTGGTAGAAGACGGATGTTAGCCAATTTCCCACTTCCCGAAGACCGATCTCTTCTTTATCCCAGCCGAAGATTAGAAAGTTGAACCTGATAGCCAGTTCATTAATAACAGCAAATTTTCGTGGTTGTTGGAATTCTGTGGTTGCCTGGCTTCAAGCATTCTTACGTTCTGCATTTGGAGGCTTTTTATTGGTTAAAAATTAAAAACAAAAATGTGTTAAAACAATGTGAAATTGTTAACAAAATTGCTAGCTTAGGGACAAAGATTTAACAGAGGCATTAAGAAGATACTATGTTGTCTTGTTACGGAGACATGTAACATCATCGTGTCCAACGTTTTTTTATCTTTGCTAAACTCAAAACTCAGAAGAAGAAGAAGTATCAATGTGTTTGTTTTTTTGGGGCACGTCAGAAAGGTGAGAGAAGCAGAAAGAGGCAAACTTCAATTTTGATCCGTTCTTCATTTTGGCATTCCAATACAAGAAAGCCGAAAACGTTTAAATCCACGTGCACCCAAAATGATAGGGACCATGATGATATGCCACGTCAGAGTCGAATTATTAGATAATTTTGTTTTACACATAATAGATAGATAAATAGATAGATAGATGTTGTGATGAATAAAATAAGCCCATGGATGGAGAAGAAAGAGCTAATACAACTGATAAATGATAATCATTGATTTATATTCCTTAAAATAACAGTTCAATTTCGCGGCACCTTATAAGGCCATCTTTTAATCTTTCTCTCTCCCCCATCTCACCATCATCAACAAATCAAACACCTTCTCCGCAAGCAAGCTTCAAAAAAACTCTTTGATTCATTTCTACCCTACCCTCCTTTTCTTCTTCTTGATATTCTCTTCATTTCCAAATCACAAATCAGCCAAGGGAATTCATTTTTCCCTTTTCCTTTTTTTTCAATTAATAATTTGTTCATCCAGATGGAGGGTGGGGATTCTTCTTCACTAGTGGCGCGTGGCCGATTGGCGGTGCTCTCAGCTCACCTTTCAGCTTCTCCTAATGTATTCGATTCTGTTTCGTCCTCCATTATCGAACGTTCCACCGCCTCAGCTCAATTGGTATCGCCTCCGCCGAACCTCAAAGGCGCGTTGACGATCATCGATGAACGAACCGGTAAGAAGTATCAGGTTCAGGTCTCTGAAGAAGGCACCGTCAAAGCTACCGATCTTAAGAAGGTCTGTGTTTCTTTCTTTGTTTTTGTGTGTTTGGATTATTTATTGTTGTTCCTTTTGTCCGTTCCTTCATTACTGCTCGAGGATTTTGTTTTCGGTAAAGTACTTTGCCTAATTGTATGGAAGTTTACGATTTCCTGTGATTTTATCGTTTTAATTTTAGACTTCCAAGAGTAGGTCCTTTGTATTTTTTTTTTAATTTTATTTATATACGGTTGTGGAGATAGATCTTTACTGTGTCCTTGCTGTGTTTCTTTTACTGATGGATGAATTTTGTGACTGATGAGTGGATTTAGCTTTCTAATTAATTATATGAACAGATAACAGCAGGATCAAATGATAAGGGGCTCAAGCTTTATGATCCTGGATACCTCAACACCGCACCTGTTCGATCATCCATCTGCTACATTGATGGTGATGCAGGAATTCTTAGGTATAGAGGATACCCTATTGACGAGCTGGCTGAAGGAAGTTCCTTTGTTGAGGTGGCATACCTGTTGAGTAAGTGTTGCATCGTAGATTTCAGTATATATTCTCTTTTATTTGCTTGTTGCAACTTCTGATATTTACATAATATTGGGCCTCCTGTTTCCATTTTATTAACCGTGTTATAATGCCTGAGCAAGGATAATTGTATTCTTTTACTCTCAACTTAAACATAAACAGTAACATCTGGCTCTAACTTCTTAACTGCCCCTTGAACTACACAAATCAAAAAAACCAGGGAACTTTTGGTGAACCATTATCGCCGTCTCTCTGGGTTTGATGTTTTTGTTTTCATGTATTCCATTTTGCTAAACAGTCCAATAGTCTTCGTAAGAGAATCTGATTCTTGCATTTATTTTGGGTCTGAGGACTTACAAGCAAATGCTTTTGACTGTTGCAATTGCCATTTTGAAATGGTGAAATTACTTAAATGGGTTTGCTTGAAATGCTTTATTATGTACAGAATAACGAAGTTATGGAGAGTGCATATTGGAGCAATGCCTTTAGATTATATGACTACTTGTGCAAGTATATGATGTTTTGATGTTCGATATCATGGTTCGTGAGTACTGAAGCCATTCTCCTTCTTGCAGTGTATGGAAATTTACCATCTGAAAGTCAGTTAGCTGATTGGGAGTTTGCAATCTCACAACATTCAGCTGTTCCACAGGGAATCTTGGTTAGTATTTTTTCTTTAGGTCCTATCAATTTAAGTTTGTCATTCATTTTTACTTGTTTACTTTTTGATTCTGAAATACACAGGAGGATCAATACTTCTTTTTCCTCATTCTGATTTTTTTCTTCCTCTGCTTTTTTCTCCTTCACTTCTCTTCATATATTTCATCTTTGATTTTCTATTTTACTATCGTGCACAATCACTCGTCCTAGGAGGGGAAAAAATTAGATCACAAGAGAAGCTAGGGAATAAAGTAAAGTGCATTTTTCCCCCTAATTTGTTGCTACTCGCGTGTTAGATTTGTTTATTATTCACATTTGAAGATCTATTGGGTATGATGAAGAGTAAAGGCTTTTGTCAAGCGTGTAATTGTAATATTTAATCTTACCAAATAATGGATACCAGTCATTTCTTTGATTATCACGGGAAGCGGAAAACAATTTTGCAACTTTAAAAATTTCTGATGTTCATTTTATGCCATTCAGGATATCATACAAGCAATGCCTCATGATGCTCATCCAATGGGTGTTCTAGTTAGTGCAATGAGTGCTCTCTCAGTCTTTCACCCTGATGCTAATCCTGCTCTTAGAGTAAGTGGTTCTTGATTTGAATTGTGCGTGATTCTCGTAGTTTTACCTTTGTTTTACTCTTTGGAAAGTGTTGGGTATCTATTTCATCTTTGCCAGTTTCTATAACCTGGATGGTGGAGTTGTATACCTTGATATGTGACAAATGTTTGGAAGCAGAGAGTTATATAATTCATTATATCTCTTTTTATGGATATCTGTTGTATATGTAGGGGCAAGATTTGTACAACACCAAGCAAGTAAGGGATAAACAAATAGTACGTATACTTGGAAAGGTGGGTGTTTTTGCTTTTAGTTCCTCTTTCCCTCTTGTTCGTTGCTTGATTACCTGAAACATAGAGTCACATTGTTTTCTCTTCTTCTTCTTCTTCTTTTTTTTTTTTTTGAGTCTTCAGCTGTTGTAATACCGTTATTTATCTTTATAGGCACCAACAATCGCTGCGGCAGCTTATTTGAGAATGGCAGGGCGGCCACCTGTTCTTCCGTCCAACAATCTTTCTTACTCAGAGAATTTCCTATATATGCTAGATTCATTGTAAGTCATGCTGCCTTTCGTTTGCTGAGTGTTTGAACCATTTTTCTATTCAGGTTCCTTTTTGATTTACAGATGGTGGAGCTGACCGCATGGAAATATTTGAAGTCCATTTTAAGAAGTTGACTTTCTTATTTCTAGCTTGCATATTTTGGTTGATATACATAAGGAGTTACATGGTACTTTGGAGGTTATCGCAATACTTAATCAAATGTTATTTGATAAACTTGCAGGGGCGACAGATCTTATAAACCCAATCCTCGGCTTGCTCGGGTGCTGGATATTCTTTTCATATTGCATGCAGAACATGAAATGAATTGTTCAACAGCTGCTGCTAGACACCTGGCATCAAGGTACAAAATTTAGTATATGAACTTTCTGAATTTCATTTACTCTTGTTAGATTGCTCAGTTGCTGGCTTCTATATATGCAGCGGTGTTGATGTATACACTGCTCTTGCTGGAGCTGTAGGAGCACTTTATGGTCCGCTTCACGGTGGAGCTAATGAGGTAGAGTGACTCTTGTTTTCACTGAACATGAGAAAATAAGTCAATCTGGAGCAGATGGAAAGTTGCTAATTTAGATTGAAGAATATATTGGGTCACGTTACCCTTAATACTGTAGTTAGCAATTGTTATTATATCTCCCTTTGGTTTTACTTTGATCCAATGATTCACCCCATGTGACCAAACCTTTTTATCCTCTTTTTGGGGGACCTATAGGCTGTGCTTAAAATGCTGAATGAGATTGGAACAGTTGACAAAATCCCCGAGTTTATAGAGGGTGTGAAAAATCGGTATGACTTTTAATCTTTGCATCTTTATGAGAAATGTGAATGTCTGACTGACCCTATTCAATTTTCTGGATCTAGAATTCTCTGATGATATTTTTCTGCTACTCTTCCTTAGGAAGCGTAAGATGTCTGGTTTTGGACACCGTGTGTACAAGAATTATGACCCCCGGGCTAAGGTTATAAGGAAACTAGCAGAAGAAGTGTTCTCTATTGTCGGCCGGGATCCTCTCATTGAGGTGACATTTCCTTCTACTTTTAGATATTGATTTTATTGTGGACATTCAGATTCCCCTAGTTTTAATTATGAACACAAAGCAAGGGCGTAACAAGTAGAATAACCAACTGTCAAGGTCTCACTTGGTTTCTAATTTTCATGATTTCACCTGCAGGTTGCCGTGGCTTTGGAGAAAGCAGCACTTTCAGATGATTACTTTATTAAGAGAAAATTGTATCCCAACGTTGATTTTTACTCTGGTCTAATATACAGGTACGTAGAAAACTAGATTTGTTCCAGTCTTGTTTTTGTAGTATGGTTTAGGAATTTTACAACTGCCCTTTGTTTGACAAATTGCCATAATTTGTGGGTCAGGGCAATGGGCTTCCCTACGGAATTCTTTCCCGTTCTGTTTGCAATTCCTCGTATGGCTGGCTATTTATCTCATTGGCGTGAGTCTCTTGATGATCCTGACACAAAAATAATGAGGCCTGCTCAGGTTGGTTCTTCCTTATAAGTTGTAGCTCTTCAAATTTGCATTTGAAGAAGAATTTTTTCTTGTGTTGTGCCGAAAAAAAGGGGACTGACATTTCTGATTACTGAAGCGCTCTTATTTTCATGAGCATGGCTTTGAGTAAGGAGATTTTTTTGGCTGCTCATCTGCTTTCGAGAGAGTTGTTCTCTATTTCTGTTTACTGAATAATGGTGTACTGAATCCGTGTCAAATTTGTATTCAGGTGTACACTGGTGTATGGCTGCGGCATTACATGCCACCTAAAGAACGGATGGTAATCAAAGAGGCAGATAGGCTTGGTCAAGTTTCCGTCTCCAATGCCACCAAGAGGAGATTGGCTGGTTCGGGGGCTTAGGGTTTGAATGATCAGACTCCATTAGAAAACCCGCGATCTGGAGAATGGTGGTCTCTAAGAAGATGCTTCTTTAATAAACAGATGTGATCTGACGAGCAGTGACTTGAGCATGGTTTCAGCCAGAAAGCGGGTACCAGGGAATGTAATAAGAAATATACATCATACTCCACAATGTATTAAATTGCATTGATTAGGACAATAATGTTGATTTGTCAACATCTGTCTGTTCTTTAGAATTGTACCCAAACTACTACGGTTGAAATGATATTTACTTGCATACTATACGGACCGGTTATGGCTAAACTTTGTCTTGCTGGGTTCGTATTATTATGTGCTATCTCAGGAGCTACACTACTCCAAACTTAAGATTTCGAAGGTAATTCCTTGAAAACCATTTAACCAACAAAAAAAAAAAAAAACCAAGGCTTCTACAGTTTAAAAACCTTTTTTTGAAGAGGAAATTAAAATCTGAAACTTAACAATAATTATGGGACGGAGGGAGTATCAAGCAGTAGAGTTAAGCATCAAATTCAAAATCTTGGTAGGGTTCCTAGGGTCGAAACATTTAAAGACTTGTTGTTCTTGCATAATGTCCAGACTTAAGAATTGGGTTCTTGATCTGTAAGCCAAAGGGTTCCTCATTTTTATCTGTTCATAACTTGGGTCGTTTTAAGGGGAAAAACAGAAGTGTAAAAATCAGAGACAAATTGAGCTAATTTCTCTCATTAAGTCTTCAATTTCGCATCAAAGAATTTGAAATTTTATTTTTTCTGTAAATTTCCATGGAAGTATTAAGATAGGCCAAAATGTTTGTGACTTTGAGCTTCAACGTGAAAATAGTGTAAATAAATGAGGGGGGGAAAGAAAAACTTTCTACTAAAATTACCATAATAAATTACTTCTAATTGCATCCTCTAGACCAAGACAACAATAATTAATCAATTACAATTCATATTATTTATTTATTATTATTACAGCCAAAAATACAAATCGGACCTGCCCGCTTGTGTTCCAGATCAAAGTCCCGATCTTTCTCAAAAACCCACCCATCTTCCTCCGGTGTCCTTTTCTCGGTGCCGATCACTTCTCCCGTCGACTCTTCTCCGGCGAAGCCCAATCTCGTAACCATCCTGATTTCCACTCTGTCTTCGTCTACCAGGTATGCTACCTCTCTTCCCTCCTCGCATTCACCCACGGCATATAATCGCCATCTCCCTGTGAATTGAGGATATTTAAAACGCTTTTCTGTTTTTGATGAACTGTTATTTTGGCATTCCACCTGATGATTTTGCCTTTACAATTGATAGCACTGCAAATTTTGAGTCTTTGATAGCTTTTACTTAAAATCTTTGGGGGTGGGCTTTGCTGTGGATCAATAATCCTCCAATTGGAATCGAATATTTAATTAGTTCTTTTGCAATTCAACTGACATATAAATGCTTATAAAAGAATTGGATGTGCAGAAATACATTCTTGTGGGTGCGTCTTTGTTGATCTGAACATTTTATGAGGTCAAACTGTAGATGATAGTTTCCAGTTTGCACACTTGATGTGTTGTCATATTTATTGGTTTTTTGAACTGTGAATTTTGGGCGTTATTAACTGATCTGATTCCTGATAGATTTCCTTGAGTTGATTATGTGAATGTAATGACTATGGGCATGGCTTTTCGACTCTAATGCTGTTGCTTTCTTCAGTTTTACATGTATACTTTGAGCTGCTAATGGGAGAGATTTGTTAGCTTGATTTGTGCGACTTTTAAGAACCTGGATTTTCGGCCTCTGTTTTTGTGGTGAAGATTGATTATAATGTTGTTGCTTTCTTCAGCTTAGAAAATCAGCACTTGAGTCTTGTATAGGTATGGACTGATTTTTGTGGGCTTTATTAGTGGTGGTGGGTGACATAGTAAGTGCAAATGCCTCTATGTGGGAACTACCCTTTCATGGTAAATTTTGTTTTGGTTCATCCTCTTTCGGAAAGAAAGTCTTGATTGTGCTTGGATCACAACACAAAAAGATAGGGTTGAAGATTTGTTCTTCATCATTTTAGTGAAAATAAGAAGCAATGTTGTTGCATGGGTTTCTACTTATCGAAATCGATATTGTGTGCTCTTTTCAAAACCCTTCTATGTGGGATAAAATATGCACTACTTGTCTGGAGGTTATGGGTGTATATCAGTGCTTTGTTTTATACTTAAAAGTCCCTCACTTCTCTGTTAAAATAATCTGACTGTAGCATTCTGCCATTCTCTATTGGAACAACTACTTTATCCTCAAAGCTTATTATTTTTGAAAATTGCTCATATTCGCCCTGATCCGCAGGTGAGACATTTGTCAAAATGTCTGGGCAAAACCAGCGCTTGAATGTCGTTCCTACTGTTACTATGCTTGGAGTTATGAAAGCTCGCCTGATAGGTGCAACAAGGGGCCATGCATTGCTGAAGAAGAAAAGTGATGCTTTAACTGTTCAGTTCCGACAGATTCTGAAGAAAATTGTGTCCACAAAGGAGTCCATGGGTGAAATTCTGAAAAGTTCCTATTTCACTTTGACGGAAGCCAAGTATGCAGCTGGTGACAACATCAAGCACGTGGTTCTCGAAAATGTTCAGAGTGCCTCTGTTAGAGTTAGATCACAGCAAAACAACATTGCTGGTGTGAAGCTCCCCGTGTTTAAGCATTACACTGATGGAGAAACGAAAAATGACCTGACTGGGTTGGGAAGGGGTGGACAACAGGTGCAGGCTTGCCGTAATGCGTATGTCAAAGCTATTGAAGTGCTTGTTGAGCTTGCGTCACTCCAGACTTCATTCTTGACTCTCGATGAGGCAATCAAGACGACGAATCGTAGGGTTAATGCTCTGGAGAATGTTGTGAAGCCACGTATAGAGAACACAATAAGTTACATTAAGGGAGAGCTTGACGAGTTAGAAAGAGAGGATTTCTTTAGGCTGAAGAAGATACAGGGTTACAAGAAGAAAGAGATCGAGAGACAGGTTGCAGCTGCCAAGGCATATGCGCAGGAAAAAGTTGCTGAGGAGATTGCTTTGAAGGAAGGTGTTTCATTTGAAACAGCCAACAACATGTTAACCCAAGGTTCGCAGAAAGACGAGGACATCATTTTCTGATATGGAGGTCCATTTAGTTCTTGCAATTATATGATGCCTGCTTCTTTTGTTTTAATGTTTGTTCGATGAGCTAGGGATTAGTTATTATTGTTCAACAAGCTACACTTAGTATTTTGAATAAGAGCTTGCTGATGTTTGTATTTATTAAATTTCTGAATTGGATCCAGGCTCTATATGCTGTAAACTAAGAGAGCTTTGTCTGTCTCAATTTCTACCCGGTTTAAGCTTTCCATTTGTTCATCGTGACGATTGTAAAATGAAATGTCAATGGCAGTTTCGTTCTTTTTCCATATTCCCCTTGTGCTCTTCTTGTTATGAAGCATTTCTCTAGGTTTTCAGCACTTTTTTGACCCTCTCCATGTTGCCCCATTAATCGCTGAAAGCATGTTTGCAGAAGTAAGGCATCTGCTGCTGCTCAAAGCACTTTGTTATATTTTGAGAACAATCCAACATTGTCGGCATCCTTCGTATAGTCGATTTTTTTAATTGCCTAGGTGTCCAGTATGATGGTTTGTGCTTCAGGCTTTTGATTCGGAACATACGGATTTCACTCAAAAGTTTGGAACAGTATTGTAGTGCCAACAATCGTCCCTAAGCTCTTTCGTATACAATTTTCGTATGCAATTGGCGTGTTCATTATGTATGTATTGCTTCTCTTCAAATCGCTTCTTTTTTCCCCTACAAATCTCGCAGTAGTATAATACTCCCTCCTGTCCTTAACATAAGGCATTATAATTTTGTTTTAAGTTTCACCTAATACGTATTTTTAATTGATAAAAAAAACCTTAAAAATATATTTTCACATTCGTTGTATTCTCTTGATTATTATGAAATATTTTTAAAGTTTTTTTGTCGATTAAAAGTACATACTAGGTTAAATCTAGGACAAATCAAAATGTCTTATATTAAGGACTGGAGGGAGTATCATCTTATTTTTAGAATACACTAGAATACAGTTTGTACACACCGATCTCATTTTAGAGAGAGAAGTGTCGATTTAGTCCAAACGTTTGCTCTGGTTGTCGATTTCATCCAAAAGTATGACTTTTGTCGTCGATTTAGTTTAGAATTAAACTAAAAATTAAAATTAGGCCTAATTAAAATTAAAATTAGGCCTAATAGTTTAGAATTTTTTTTAAAATGCTCCTTATAGTATAAAAATTTATAAAAAGAATTTTTATTTTTAAATTTTTTTCGTCTATTGTTTTTTTTTGGTATGCACAGAAATGATATTTTTCAATTTATTTATTTAATTTCATCTAAATATCCTCTTAACCAAAAAATTTTAATTTTTTTTGTCCATAGTTTTTTTCTTTTTTTGGGTATGCACCGAAATGATATTTCTCAATTTACTTATGTAATTAAATCTAAATATCCTCTTAAAAAATTTTTAATTTCTTTTTGTTTGAAATGCTAACTTTTACTTTTTTTTTTATTTTTCTTCATGAAATAATTATAAATATACAAATTTATGTTACAAATTCACCTTTTATTTTTCTAAATATTTTTTTATTTTATTTTAAAAATATATCATACATATATAATAGATAAATATATTTTATTATACACTATTTTTTTCCATATTTTTTTTAGAATTTTTTTTCCATATGATTTAACAGTCGTTCATCACAACTCCTACCCTAGGAACTAAATCAATTTTGACGAGTTTAGTATAAATAAATACTAAAATATCAAAAAAAAACTAAAATATCAAATTTCATGTATTAAGTGAGTTGAATTAATTTGTTAATTTTGATTGGTGACTGCGGCATTGAAAGTGATAAACACATGCATATGCGTCACTATTAGCAACAAAGAAAAACATTTTATAGATAGTAGTATGGAATATTAATAAATGTTATGAAAACAGATTGAGAAAAGAATTAGAAAAAGTTTTTAATTAATATAAAATAAAAAAGAAATAATTATTGAAAAGAATGAATGTGTAACATAATTTTGTATATATTTATAACATATAGAAAAATGTTGTCTAAAAAAAGAATTTGTAATATAGTTTCTTATGAATCTATAACATATAGGAAAAAAATTTGGAGTTCATATTTCACACTAAAAAAAAATTAAAAATAATTGTTATTAAGAAACTATTAGATGAGAATAAATAAATAAATTGATATATATCATTTTGGTAAATACCAAAAAAAAAAAAACAAAGAATAAAAAAAAAAAACTAAAATTTGTAATATTTTTATACCATAAGGGGCAATTTTTGAAAACTTCTATACTATTTGGGCTAATTTAAATTAATTTAGGGGTATTCTCGTCCAAATGACTAACTCGACTATAAAAGTCATACCTTTGGATGAAATCGATAACTAGAACAAACGTTTAGAATAAATCGACGACCAGAGCAAACGTTTAGACTAAATCGACACTTTTACCCATTTTAGATCAACATGCAACAGATAATATTTGTGTGTTATATTGATTCACACAAAAATGTCGTCACTCATTTGGTTACATTGAAGTGACCTTCCGAATGTAGTGCGTTGACCTTCAAGTATAACCAACACCAGAAGACTGCAAAAAGGTCCCGAAACAAACAAACAAGTGGAGGAAAGTGGCTAATAGCTAACATCAATCCTTATAACTTTGTTTCTCAAGAAAACCCATAAAGATGGTAAAACTCTACTCTGCTTTGGTTGTAGATGTCGAAGCCGATGCTTGGGATGTTGTAGATGTTCTGGCTGATGACGACACTGGTCCTCGGGTTTCCTCAACTATTCTCTGCACTATTTCATCTTTGGACGTCTGAAGCATCCATGAATACATGGTGTTGATGAGGTCCTCACTGTTTTCATGTTCAGTGAAGATACTCAGATCTTTTCCCGGAACCATGACGTATACTTGATTAAAAACATAACTTGTCAACAAAAAAGATAGGAGGAGGGGGAAGGAAAACGCAAACCTAACCAATCAAATTACATGCAAGTACTCTCCTTCTACGTCATAATAAAAGTTTTTTTTTTTTTTTGATTGGGAAGTAAAAATCATCTAAGAAACAAAATTACCATATTTAGACGAAATTAACCAGTGTGTGATGCAATTATCCATGTGCATAATGTAACTTCTAAGAAAAAACTAGTAGTAAAGAAGAGAAAACGATGAATGAAGATTGAGGAATACAAAATTTTTGTTTTGTCCCTAGTTAATTACCACCACCACCAGGATGTCAATGATGAATATTAGGCATTGAAATGAGAGTGTGTGGAATTAACATACTTGAAAGTTTACCGTGGTGGCTTCATCCATAATAGATGCATGGCATAAGTTTTCCTGGCTAACTCGACGGCTTCATTGATGGACAAATCCATGCGACGGGCAGCTAGTATTACCCCCCGGGCATATTTGCCTCCGGATCCAGAGAAGACCGGTTGTTCTTGAAACATTTTCCTATTTGTGTCAAAGTAGTGAATTGCAGATCGGTAACCTAAACCATCGGGTCTTCTAACACAATTGGCGATCAAAATCTGTGCCAGCATGTTCGGCCCAGGTTGATGGAGAGACAAAACAACCCAAGATAAAGAGATAAGCAAGTTGATTAAGTAATTAGTCTAAGATGTCATGTCACAAAATTCCCACAAGTTCTACGGCACAAATTTTCATAAACAAAGTGAATCAAAAAGTAGTTTCATTTTTTTTTCTCCGTCGTGGATCTATTACCTTCTCCGTTAGGATCATTGATATCAAGTTTGTCAATAGTTTCTTCCTCTGCTTCTTGCGATTCATCATTACCACGATCGTACGTAAAATCCTTTCCTGAATCAACCCTCGCACTAGCAGCAAGATTATCTACATTGTCACTGGAGGCTTATTCAACTTCAAGAACATGGCAGTTATCGTTGGACAAGTCTTCCTGCATCTCCGGAGATGTCTCTTTAACCGCCATTTCTTGATTATTCTGCTTCCCATAGTCTCCTTCTCCCATTCCCTTCTGGTGATTTTTATCATCATCATGGGAGATAGATTTCGGGAATCGGGATCCCTTCTCAGGATTCTGGACATTTTTTTTAACCGTCTTCGAGCCTGCATTGAATTCATTCTTTGAAGCTTCTTGCATCATCTTCTTCGCAGCAGCCAATGCTCTTCTTCTGGTTTTCTTCTGCTTTTTCTTCTTGATGTTCTTCTTCGCCATTTTGCGTGTTATTCTTTTCCTCATTTTCTCAAAACGTGACAGCGAAGATTCTTGACGCGATTGAAGTCTGATTTAGCAGTTGAATAATTTTCTTTTCGAAGAAGGAAACAGAGGAGGAAGGAGAAAAAGAATTGCTTCTAGCAGAGTATTAGATAGCAATGTGGTCAACTTCTTTATTGACTTACCCCCATACAACTGCTCAAGTTAAAAAGTAAGAGAAAAATAATTCCTTTGGCCAACTCTCTCACCCATCGAGGTCAGTATTGTCATGCTCAGTTCAGACCGGCTGGTTGAACCGGTTAAACCGAGAACCAGTCCCCATCTGAACCGAGCAAGATTTAAAATCATCAAAAAGAAGATCGGTCAAACTCGGCCAAAACCCCAATCTAACCGCGAATCGGGTAAAACCGGGTCGAACCGGGATTTTAATTTTTTTTACTTTTGACCCAAAATTGCACTATTTCCCATGGATTTCAAGTTTCAATGTCTTCCTGGGCCAATCTTTTCTCTTTTGTTCAAAATTGCCCGATAAATTTCATTGTTTTGTACTTATTGAAGTATTATTTTGATTTTAAGTCCCCATATTCAATTTCAATTTTCAAATTTAATATTTTGCATAATTATTTTTTTTAATTTTGTTACAGAAACTTAATTCGGTCATTTTCAGAAAAATTTATATTATAACTCTAATATGTCACAAAAATTAATCTCGGTGTACTTTTTCTTAATGTGTATATTAGTTGTCCTTCAAATTCAATACTTTTTCTAAACAATATTTTATCTATCTTAATTATTTTATTAATATACTAATTTACTTCACCGGAATAACAATGAACTACTTAAAAGTGTGAATATTAACTAATATAATCAAAGAGAGATATAAATTTCCAAAAAAAAAAGAGAGATATAAAGTTTAAGTCTTTTTAATTTTAAATGTATTAAATAACTAAATATTATAGAATTAGTAATAATGACATCATCCTAATCGACCTCATGAGTTCAATTTAATTATTTGAGACTCATTTGGAAATTATCAAGTATTAATATATTATAAGGTAGGTTGTTCCGAATGCCAAAGGATAATAGTAACTTGGTTACGAGAGTTTCTCGACCAAGAGGTATGAGTTTCCCTAAATCATTAGCCGAAGCAAGAACAGGATCCGGTTTAGTGGGAATGGGATATCC